GGAGGGGCTTGTGTTTCAAGGGTACCTATAAACGCTTTTATCAATTTGCAAGGGGGAAAACGATTGTCAGAATAATTTGAAACCGTCCTCAATTTAATTACATACCATTTCGTTATCCTTCGTAACTATTGACAAAAAACGTTCAAGCCTTAGGTGGTCGTTCATCAGCAGCCGATAACTGTTGAGAATTTCCTGCTTAGACATCTGCAGAATTGGTCGTTAGACTTAAATGCACAAACCGATTCTTGAGTTTTAGCTATAATGGACCAGCGCTTATTCAAATCGGCTATTGGATCCTCCATGTTTTCTTTGTCCTGACGATTTTATAGAGTTTTTTTTAAGAAACCTACCCTTTTTTCAAGCCTTAGGAGAGAATCCTGCATCCGAGGTGTGGTTTCCTAGACAAGAAAGTAATACTAGAATTGAAGTTATATTACGCTCGATTTGGACCTTTTCGATTTTTTTGCTAATGTTGCTGCGGTTTCCTCGACGCAAACCGTCTTTCTGGGCACACCGGGGCTACGAAAACGAGTTTCCATCTGCGAAATAAATAGTAAATATATACGACCCAACTTACATGTTCAAAGGGGTTGGCTGATGCCATTCACCAAATCGGTTAAGCCGAAGCCTATATATTCGTATTATAGTCTAAAGTATGCATTACTTTACTGAGGAATCACACGAATGTAATCCTTCCGCAACGCAAGACAATTTCAGGATGTTTCAAAATAATGTGCAAGTTGGGCCATGTTGATCTAATTGATCCATTAAAACATACAACAATAAGGAAAATGTAGGCAGCACAGGTTTTATTTAAAAACACTACAGCCAACGAAATCCACATTATTGGTTCGCTAGACAATTAAGATACTTGATAATGTTCTATTATAGACGACTTAGGCCGCATTTTTAGGTATAAGCTAGCCGTTTCACTTTACGCAGACGGAATGTGTGCGAAGGTAGCGGGGATATTTGAGGTCAAAGCATACATATTTTTCGTATTCCAAATCAATCCATGACTTAAGCACATGTGTTAACATCCAGTGCTGGCATATTGTCGCAATGAGTGAGGATACATGACAAACATTGGATTTGTATGCAGTCAATTACGGACAGTCGCGCTTTGGTTTCTATTAAACATTAACACGACCCATAATCCTGCAGGTTTTGACGCTCTCACGCTAATAGGTCGGTCGTGCGTCACTTATACTTCCTGCATGGTCATTCCACGCTCTTTGCTGTAAGCTCATATATTTTATCTCCCTTTTCCACTTATGCTTCTCTTGGGAATAATCTTCCACTCTTTATTAGGGCGTCGCCTAAATGATCTGTTTTAAGACTAAAATATATGGGCACCAAGCCCCTGAAAATATACCGTGCGCATTGTCCGTTTTATTCACAGGCACTCAAACTTCCCATATTTAAAAAGACCTTCTGAACTGAAAGTGGGTTTCGTTTATTTGTGTATGTGTTCAACTGGCATCTCTCGCTCAATTCTAATGAATGCATGTTGTGTATCTCAAGACATTCCCTATCATCAGAATTGTCTTCAAACAAATAAACAAATATCGGTCGAAGATCTAAACTGAAAAGATGAGAAGAACTCCTCCGTGAGTATCAGCTGTTGACTTTGCGTTTTGCCTACTTGAAGGAGTCGGAAATGATGTCCCGAAATTGGTAATGGGTTGAGTCCACTGAATTTTCACTGTTAAGTTGGAGTTAAATTAGCTCACCGTTTTTTTCTGCCACACCATTGATGCACTACATCGCTTGCCTCTATAGCAGGAAGGTACATCACTGCTGTTGAATCTAGTTTTCACCTGGACAAGTCCGTTTTTTCGACTTGTGCGCAGATTCTTGACAGATGATAGAAGATGGATCGAGGGTGCTCGGCACAGGGTTGAAGAATTGCTGAGTTCTCTATAAAAGGATTAATACTGTTGGCGCAAATTAATAACTCAATCTCAGAACATATCCGAGAAATGGGTGTGAAGAGGATGCATCCATCTCATCATAGGTCTATTTAAGGCCTAGAAAGGCTTTGCTCTTCATATTACTGTGTTACCTGTGTCTGCAAGAGCAGGATCTTACGTAATGTGCAGTGATTTATACGGCACTGAACAAATTAGTGTTGAATGATCTTTCATGAATAGTTAGGTCACCAAGCAGACATTATGTTTGGTTTCCATATTTCCAGGATTAGTTCAGGGATCGAGCATATATGCTGACGATGGGCGCTGATAGATATCATCGAGAAGTAAACAAAGAACACGTTTAGTTCTCATTTGAAAGTAAAACAATAATCAATCTAGGTCTTTCTTGATGTCAAAGACTACGCTTGCGTCTTGATATTCGCTTTTGCAAATCCACTAATAAGAAAAACACATTGGATGGGTACTTACCTCTTCCAATTATCTTCGTTCACAGGACAAGTTGTCGCGGAGTTCCTTAATTTTTCGTTCATGGCGACTCAGTTCCCTGACCACCCATACATGTCACCCGTTCTAGTTGTTTACCAACTCGATTGCCCACAAGCGACTGAACATTCCAGGCTCACAAAAACAGTAATGGCACTCGTTGATGATCGTCCACCGACCGCTAAGAAAACTCAAATGTTCCGCTTTGCCTTGGGCCTCATTTATCGTGCCATGACAGCAACCGTACGGGCTAGTCGTCTAGACAGATAATACCGACTGTCCGACGACGGCTAATATGCCAAAAATGGCCATTCCAGCCTCTCGAGTATTTGCCGGTACTACTATCTGCCTAAAAAGAGTAATATCGCAATGCCAAATTGTGGGCTATCATGAAGTTCTATATTATTTTTTATTGTTTTATACGCTTCTACGAACACCGTATTTGCATGCACAATCTAAGATCGGCTTCTCGATATGAGCACGTTTTGTAGCCCATTAACGCGTGAATGAGAAAGCAATTTTTATCCAAGCAACGGCTTCTCATTCACTCAAGATGCCTGTCAAAATGCCCTTTAGGGTCATGAAACTGATATGTTAGGAGGACAACCTTAATAAATATGAGCCGATTACGATGGCGTTTGTCTTTCTGAAGTAGAATCGTCCTTTTGGATGGAGGGTAGGCAAAAAATTATCTGCTTAGGAAATACCAAATTTCGAGAGAATCACCAGATACAGTAGGTTACCTATGAGATGAAAGGTTGGAGATTTGGGAACTTAAAACACAGTTGAGATTGGTTATTGAGATCACTGGGTTGGCTTGAGGCGCAAAATGATGTTTATTAGAATTCCATTCTGTTCAGATCAGTATACTGGGAGAAAATAGAGGCGAAAATGCATGAAATTCAGCGTTTGTTGATATCCGAGAAATTTTCCTATGCTATTAGACGTTGCGGAAAAGAGCTTCTTGTTAGTGCACGTTGGACTGTAAAAGAACACTCATGAGGAGCAGGAACTTTTCAGCTATATCTGTTCACAAAACGGAAAATTTTGTTTTGCGTTCACGAAATTAAGGTTAATATTATTATAAGGTAATGCTTTATTTTTGGAAAAAGAACTGCCAAATAAGTTTAAAAAATTCTATTTTGCAAATTTATAAAGTTTTTTACCGTAAAATTAAAACATGAACTTTTAAGGCTGCTACTTGCCTCACCCCGTATAAAAATTTATATTGTATATATAAAGGGTTGTAGACAAGGAATGCAAATAAGGAATATATAGGTATACAGTAAATAAATCGATTGCGCAGCCAATATAAAGTTGAAGACAGTTAACATATCACACATTTGAGTGAGTTGTCACGGGACACTGCGATAGAGTTTTCTCAAAAGTCGCCGTTGATATTATTGCCGCTCTGCTTTATATTTGTTATTGTAGAACTTATTCTAGAAGTAATCAAATATGCTGAAAACTGTTCCATTTTAGATAAAACATTTAGGTCTTTCATTAATAACAGAAGAGATATCCCTAACTGCAAGGAAATCAATCCACTGGCCAAAATTTCCCATTCTGACATTGACTTTATCAGCAAAAAATTAAAGTACGCAGACATAACACGCCAAAATGATAAAGTAAAGCTTTTTTCAAGAGTTTACTTTTTTTAGAATTTTTCTAAATCAATTTTGAGCATGTTCATTCGCGACTTTTGTAGTGGACGTTCATTTTTCTCGGCAATGAGTTCATGTGTGGGTGGGTTCTGAAACTATGACACACAAAGACAGCTGCATAAGAAAAAAATGTTTAACGGTTTCATAGAGCTAAAGACTGGCGATGAGTGTCAGAGCGGGTTGAACGTTTAAATACCTACCAAATGTATCTATCCGTTTGGTGGAAATCGCCGGTGGTTAATCCCCAACACCG